TGCTTATTGTCATCTAAAAATATTTTGTTTGGGTGCTTTGAAGGGGCAGAAAATCGTGCTTTTGTTACATTTTCCGACCACTCGTTAGGCATGTAAGCGTGCCGCCATTTTGATTGACAGCTCTGGAGAGGGCCCTAGCCTAGTGATGCCCCGTAGGGTGTCAAGGATATGTAGAAGGAAGCGCTAACAAAGGCGTTTACGTTTAACCGCAATTAAGAGGTGTGAAGTTGCATTTGAACGTTTCAATGGCTCTTCCTCGGCAGTCGAGTAATTTTACCTGAGAGTGAGAGATTCCTTCTTTGTTATCGGCAAAGTGATCAGATAAAACTGTGTCGAGAGCAAGTGTCCGTCACTTGTGTTAATACGAGTTTTTTTACGGGTAACGCTGCAGGATTATTTTGCACGACACTTGGTAATCGTCAGATCAACGGAAAAATCCAGTGATTACTTCAGAGCGGTCTCTCTCAAAATGCCAGCTAAGATAAAGGGGAGACGCTCAGCTGCACAAGATTCAGCGGTAAAAGTGGCTGAGAGAAGGCTTTTGAATAAATATTTTATTTTTACATACATGACACTTAGACCCTATTTGCTTTTTACCTGCTAGTCTTGACTATTTTCGGGGTCTTTTTGTGATTTTCATTTTTGGATACATTTTGAACTCTTTCTTCCCGCTTGATCAGTGATTTTGAAATTGTTTTTCTCCAAACATCTCAAAATGCAAAGCCGTTAACATGCGTTTTTATTTTTATTGTTTTAATCATGCTGTCAACCCTTGCTTGGATTTCTCTCGTTTGGCCATTCACATCACAATTTTTCGCGTGTCTCTCAAGCTCCATGATATCATATCTTGGAGAATAAAATTTTATTCTGTCAACATTAGATTTACCTTTTGCAAACGGCGACCAACAATCATTTCCGGTTTCGTAACGTGTCGCAGATACGCTCGCCGATATATATAGCAAAAATTAAGAGCTAGGCTAAAAGTATCGTTTTTTTTTAAATTTATTTATCGATTTTTCTTTCATTTGTCAATTAATATAGGCGATTCGATTAACTCTTTCACCTATTTTTTAGGTATACAGAAATCAGTTATCCGACTGAACAAATAGGGCCGGTTTTCCCCAACCGCCACGCATAGGCCCTACTCTCTTTCAAAATTTGACTTTCTTTCCTCTGGAAATGGACTTTTAACACGAACTTTTCTCTTCCCCATAGTGTACTAGCTAGACTTCTTCGCTGCTAAGCTGATGTAAGACTTATGACCTATTACCGCACACGTAATCGGCTTATAACTCATTAACTGTGCTCCGACCCCCTCATGGCAACGGCCCTTAGTAACAGAGGCGTGGCTTAGTTGTCAGCCTGACTGGGGCGCGTGCCGGTTGAAAAAGTCATCAAAAGACACATTTTGCGATGCATATTCATAAAAATTATTACATCCAACGTTAGATACTTTTTTGATTAATATAAACACAAAAAAACCTCAAAAACATGATTTTAAGCGTATTTAACCCTATCACCGGCCTTAACACAGTGTCATGCCTAATACACTGTCACACCTAGCACAATGTTTAAACTATAATTTGGTGGGCGTCCTCAGTTGTCATTATACATAACTGTATACACATACAGCACACTGTCTCACCTACTGGACTGTTGTAGCTGAGACTTTGCTTTTTCAGCATGATAACAGAACATACGTTTGAAACTTTTTATATGCTACTCAGATTTAAAAAAAAAAAATACCGACACAGGCTAATGGGACACACATGTTATTTTAGTACTCCATATCTTTTCAGGGGCCGTAGCAATAGTCCGAAGGTTCAATAGTCCGAAGGTTCATTGGTACGAATATTCACTATAGAACCTTCGGACCAANCGTTTCAAAAGAATGATAAGAATATGTATATGCTTGATTTGCATTACTTAAATTTGAAATACTGAACTCAGAATGTTCTAGTTAGAAAATTGCAAAAATATCACACAAGCCCATTTTCCTAATAGATGTTCACTTATTATTACATTTAGAGAAAAAAGCAAGTAAGTTGCCATAAGAGTAAATGTTTTGCAAATAATGTTATCAAATAACCAAGTTTAGATGACAAATTATTTGTTTCAGGTATTCCATTATGTTGGACCCTAGAGATTCAGAGTTTAACCCCAACTTGTATCTTGTGCCTTTTGCTGTAGTTGTAGGGGTGTGTTTTATACTCATGGTTGTGTTCATGGTAAGTGTGTTTTATACTCATGATTGTGTTGTGGTAAGCACATCATATACTCATGGTTGTGTTCATGGTAAGTGTGTTTTATACTCATGGTTGTGTTCATGGTAAGTGTGTTTTATACTTGTGGTTGTGCTCATGGTGAGAGTGTTATATATTCATGGTTGTATTCTTGGTAAGTATTTTATAGTCATGGTTGTCTTCATGGTAAGTGTGTTTTATATTCATAGTTGCGTTCTTGGTTAGAGTGTTATATTCTCATGGTTGTTGTATTTGTATGTGCTTTATATATTTATGGTTGTTTTCATGATAAGTGCGTTATAGACTCATGGTTGTGTTCATGGTATTGGTGTGTTTTATACTCATGATTGTGTGCTTCTTATACTCCTGGTTGTCTTCATGGTATATTTATTCTATTCTTGTGTCTAGAGTTCAATTTAGCAACGGCATTCCAATTTATGCCTATATGTTCAGTGGAACTATAAATTATACATCCAGGCTCTGTTTAAGGTATCTTATTTTATGTGGAACTCTTAACTTAAATCCAATTGTTTGAATAAGGAGATGACTTGTGAATACTACACTATTGTTGTCTTTCATGTTTCTTACCCATTAAGTGGCATGAGAAGGTCTCCTGTTGTTTCATAACAGATTGACATGATTTGGGTTTATGTTTTTCTTTCAGCTGGGAAGATGGATCAATGACATGAGGAAGAAGAGAAAGAATCGCTTGTCAAAGGCCAATTTAAAGAAACTGCCTGTTGAGAAGTTTAAGAAAGGTATGCAAGAGCAGATCTGTTTCGGGTGTTGTAAAATATCATTCCTATAGCATGGTGAATACTACTGTAACATCAATCTTTGAATTAAAAAGCAGAAAGCAAACTTGTTAAAGGAATAATAGCCCCCATACCATGATTATGTGTTAGAACCTAGCAAAGTAGACCACTACTCAGGGATGAGATTTTTCCGACTTTTGGTGGATTTCTGACTTTTTCGGAAGTAAAAAAAAATCATTGGCCTTGGCAGCCCCCTGAACCCCACCGCATATTTTCCAATTTTTTCAGTAAATGGCGGTCTCATCCCTGAGTACTCTTAAGTACACGACTTCATGTGACAAGGGCCCTTACCCTGGACATTGTAGCGTCCACTTGATTCAGGCCCCTAGCCAGCAAATTCAAAAGGGGGGTTCTTTTTCTGAAAAAGTGGACCTTTTACAATGAAACCTATGTGTACCTAGATCAAATTTTACCGAGAATGGGCCTTTTCCTGACAAAGAGGGTGGTTCTTTCTAACCCACCCACCCCCCCCCCCCCCCCCCCCACCTTCCCTGGCTACGGGCCTGTGATTGCCAAAGCTGGTCACTAAAAGTCAGCGGGTTGGTCAGTGGGTTTTAAAATAAAGTCACTTTTGGATTCTAAAAATATTGCCATTACATACATGTTCTGTGATGATTATTACAGGTGAGAGTCATTATGACACCTGTGCCATCTGCCTTGATGATTATGAGGATGGAGAGAAGCTGAGATTATTACCTTGTCAGCATGGTAAGATATTCTAGCACCTAGTGCTAACTGGCTCATTTGATTACAAGATTATATAAGATGTGACATTTTATACACTAGAATTCAATGACACTGTCACACCTAAAACACTGCCGTACTTAACACAGTGTCATGCCTAATACACTGTCACACCTAGCACAATGTTTAAACTGTAACTTTGTGGGCGTCCTCAGTTGTCATTATACATAACTGTATACACATACAGCACACTGTCTCACCTACTGGACTGTTGTAGCTGAGTCTTTGCTTTTTCAGCATGATGACAGAACATACGTATGAAACTTTTTATATGCTACTCAGATTTTTAAAAAAATAATACTGACACAGGCTAATGGGACACCCATGTTATTTTAGTACTCCATATCTTTTCAGGGGCCGTAGCGATAGTCCGAAGGTTCAATAGTCCGAAGGTTCATTGGTACGAATATTCACTATAGAACCTTTGGACCAATGAACCCTTGATTAAAAAATCGATGAAAATGTTACCACTTTTCGGACCAATGAACCTTCGGACCAATGAACCTTTGGACTATCGAGACGCCCCCTCTTTTCATATACACCATATATTTTTTTCAATAAATTTTGACATTTTTAATCTCTATTTTCAGCCTACCACCAGCAGTGTGTGGACCCCTGGCTGACCAAGAACAAGAGGGTCTGCCCAGTCTGCAAAGCCAAGGTGTTCCCCAAGGAGAGGAGGAGAAGACGCAGCGCAGACAGCAGCGAGTCCAGCAGCGATGAGGAGGAGGGGAGTAACACCGTCTCCGAGTCAACCCCTTTACTATCCACTGCCACTGGTGGGAGGGGAGGATCCACCTTTGAACACTCTGGTAAGCATACACATAATAGTGTCTTTACCAAAAATTATTTAGTCTACTGGCACTTCAGGAGATTGGAGTCTAAGAAGCTACAGGCCCAAAGCAGAAGCAGTGGGCATTAACTGCAAATTTTTAACAAACTTTGCTGGCATTTGGCATGGAGCTGGTGGTTAAAGTGTACCGGTAGGTAATGCATACCTGGATTCGCTGGAGCTTGTACATTTGACTGTCGGCAGTAAAAGTACATTTAACTTTTTTGTTCTCATGTTTATTGTAGTATTTTGTTACAGTATTCTGCATCATGTATGTAAGAATGTTTTTGTAATCAACACACGTTCCCTGATATGTGATGGCTGTGAAATTTTCCTCAGGTTTGCCTGCCTCCATGAGGGCTGAAGTCACTCTCATAAGTGACACACCCAGCAGTAGCCAATCTCCGGAAACTAGCAGTGAATCTGAGGGGGATGAGATCCCATTCACTCCATTGGTGCATGCCAGTCACCCCCCTAAAAATGCAGCTCCATCTGGTGGCAGTCATGTGACAGGGTCATCTGGGGAGGTAGCTCCATCTGGTGGCAATCGTGTGGCAGGACAATCTCGTGAGGATGACCTAACAGTACCATTGGAGGCTGAAGCTGTGAACTTGGCTTATGAGGATGAGGAGGAGGAAAAGGAGAGGAAAGATGTGGAAGTACATATAGATGGTGCTAATGGTGGTACAGACACCGAAGTTGTGTTTTCTACGGAAAAACCAAAGGAAGAAGAGAACAAAGTTGAGGGCACTCGGGGCAATGGGAACAAAACAGATATTGTATGAGAAGTATCAGTGAAAATGAGTCAAATATGGTCAGTAGAGGTTTAAGTTTATTTTTGGTCCTGAAATGAGATCTGTCTGACCTAGTTATTTATCCCCATCATAACCTTTTGTTGTCAACTTTAAAAAAAAACAGAGAAACTGTTGTAGATTGCATAAACAAGCACACTTCATCAGTACATTGTTTTAGAATTGCTTTTACTGAAAAATGTCTTTTTAATAAGTGTGATACTTGAGGATATATGATATAATTTTAAAATCTTTTGTGATTATATTTTAGGCTATTTCAGAACTATTTTGAGTAATCCTGACATAATTTATGGAAGAGTATTTTTAATAGTTACATGGCAAATGGATTTTTAAGTGATTGTGTGATATTTAATTGATGGATATTTCTTTAATCATGCTGACATGAATAGACTACTTTAGTATTACTGTAGTATTGGGTCCCAGTCACATTGTCTAGTTCACTCCTGGATTAGACAGTGAAATACTGAGGATGTCACCATTTAGCCTTATTGGTATTAGTTACCCACTCAGGTCGCAGTCACTGCAAACACAAAACACAGAACAAAAATGAAAAAACACCAAAGTTTTACTCCACAATTAGTCTCCCTCTACATATTTGCTTTGCTTTGGAGGATGTGAAATAAGTAAACCGTGCTTTACACAATCTACACACCAAAACTGCCATACTTTTATTAAATATGTCAGACTTTTTGCTGTCATATTGTGTGGTTCCTCACTAGATATTAATCGTAAGGCATTTTATTTGTCAACTTACTGTTAAAATGTTGTTTAAAGGCACTCTATTTTAACTATAATACCCATTCACTTATTTTTTTTTTTTCGCCAATTAAATAAAAGCTCCATTTTGTGCAAAAGGTGATTTGATTTATAAAGAAAATATGGTAAGTCAGTATGACAAAGAACCTGCTTTTATTTATCAGTTACCGTTGATATAAAGAGGCTCCTGCCTTAAGATGCTTGATATAAATTGATTGTAGAATGCATTTGGTGGGGCATCGGACTTATTTTTCACATATATTCTGTCTCTTGCTTATGTACATATATTTCTCTTGTGAAGAATGCTGGATGGTGAAGATAAAGTACACATTAATGAAATTAAAAATGATAGCTTTTGTAATCATGAAATTATAACTCTGTCCAATGTTTAAGGATATTTTGTTTTTTAAAAATGTCTTGTATTTGAAGATAATATTGTCAAATTTTAAAAAATGAATATAGTTCATAAGTCAAATGTGAATTTTAAGTGCATTTTGTAAAATGGATGAAGGTGAAGTTTTCCCCCCTCTTAGTAGTCCTTAACATATATTTAAACCATATGTTGTCTTCACCATTGATATTCCATGCTTTTAATTCCTTTATTGGTATTAGTTGTGTATAAAAACAATTTCTGCTTCTTATGATGTCGTTAAATGAATTTTAGCCTACTTGTAGACTTTGTGTGGGGGATTTTTAAATACTCAGTTTTGATTTTACACTCTTGTAGTCCTGTGTTTCTTCTTTGCACTCTTTGTGTGCATTCAAAATAGTTCCAAGTATGGATGGTTAATGTTTTCTTCAAAACTTGTACATGTTAATGGGTTTCGTAATTATGAACTGATCATGCAAAGAATTCAGACAAAACAATGTCATGGACTCCCTTACATATTCTGTTTGAAGTTGTTCATGAATTTTAATGTACTTTTTCCATTTTGCCACGTGATGTTTTGTTAAATTTACTTGAAGGTCTCTTATCTGGAGTAATTTTAAATTGAAATAGGATTTTGTTGTTATAAAATGTGCTAACTCATCATATTCAACATGAAAAGAATTGTATGGCCTTCTGTGAACTATTCATTATTATTATTATTATGTGGTATAACTTACAGTTGTGTCATGTAAATTAGTTCAGTCATAGTTAAATATTTTAATTGTTAATTGTACCTACATTTATTACTAAATAAAATTAATTTTAATAAAAAAGGTGTCTTGATTTGAATATGAAAGTGTATTGGTAAATAAGCATGTACATCCATTCAATAAAAAATGAAAAATTTAAAGTGGGAAATTTCTATCAATAACCAAGACTCTGTGACTGGCAATCAAATATGTGCATTTTTCTATAAATCTGAGACATTCTATTTGCACTGAAATCAGAAAGTGCACAAAAAAGGCTCATAAAAACGCTGGAAATGGATCTCGCTTGTAGGGGTTGAATAATAATATAAAATTATCTGAAAGCATAGTTTCTTTTCATATAATCGTGACATTTAATAAAACTGCCTATCTACCCGTCGCAGTTTAACAGTAGAAGACTCAAAGATGGTCGCTAAAACAGCTGGTATAATGCACCATTATATGTAATACAGCGCTCCGCCCACCTCTGTCATTTCAATCAATGAGAGAGAGGTCAAACATGTGCTCAAAAATGACGTCAACGGAACTGACCTTTCGGAAGCATTTGTTATTTGCAAGGGGGATCCCCGAATCTTTTACCTCATTACCTTCAACAAAATAAATTCGCAGCATTAAAGTTAAAATAATTCCCACTCTTTATGTAGTCAGTTAAAGTGACATACTTGAAAAGAGATGTTCTATATAAAATAATGTTTTTCTGTCTTTTTCTTCAAATATTAATTTGCTTCCTCTAAGGAGCTACTTTTCGCAGTGTAGCTTCCGCCGTATGCGTTATGCGGCCCTAGTTCTGTCCTTTCTTCGCGGTATTCAGTACGTGAACATGTCATATTCAGATGAACGAAGGTGAGACTAAATTTTATCCCTTAATCATTAATTAATAGGCCCGATCCGAGTGTGATGGTTAGAACTTTCCCATTTCTGCAATATTAGTGACATAATGTCTACAGTTTCACATATTTTCTTCAGAAATACCAACTTTTTTCGTGCCGGTAAAAAGGGAAGAACGCACTCACCCTGTCGGCCATTTTTGGCACGTGTGATTCATTGGCTTAACATATGTGTGTGAGGACACGACATTAATATTCTTATCACCTTGATTTTATGAAAGATAGGATGATGGGTCAGTTATCCCCTTTGATTTAATATCAACACGATCATGGGTTATATTCATGACCCTTTCTGTTGACTGATCACGTCAGGGCAATTTTGGGGTTCGCGTTTCGTCCAACATATCTCATTTTCTGTTTCGACAGATACTTCAAACTTAAGATTCAAAGGTCGTTTTTTGATGGTGATTGAATGAACGCCTTCGAGTATCACACAACTTGGTGATAAAGGAAACGTGTTAAATTTCTCGGAAAAATACATTTTTGATTCGCTGAAATTTGAATAGGAATTATGAAGGTCTAGTTAACGTTCATTGTTTTAACTTATATAAATTTTTAATGTGATCTGTATATAGTGTTTGGATACAATAATGAATCAAAGTGAAGCAGGCATAGGAAATGTATGAGAAGTATGGCAGGGGTTAACAGTTGTTCCATGGATTATTTAGCACAAATAACTAGAGTACCCAGTTTCTAGGCCTTCTATAGCGGGGCTTTTAACACATTCAGACACAATAAGTATAAGCTCATTGTCTTATGGCATGAGTATATTATATACATTTGGACACTTTAATACCAGGTAAAAGATTTCACAACACAAGTGCCCAGTTTCGCAATCTTCTATTTTTAGTATATGTGTAGAATTCCCTTTGGATTCTAATTAAGGTAATAGTATGTTTCTTACCTTTAAAGCTCTTTAGCTTGAACCAAATTGTCACTTTCTTAATTTCTTGGATAGCACGTCTTTTCATGTAGAAGTCCGGCTAAAAACTATCTGTCATTCAGTCTCGCTATCAGTCCAGTCATGTGATCTGCCTTTTCAGATCGAGACATAAACATACCAGTTGGCACTACACTCTTCCCCTCTTTATCCAAAAAGATTGAACCCCCACCTTACTAGACACCTCCCTTCACTTTCAGGGCTGTGTACATAGTACTCGCAGTCAGGAATGTCACTTACACCCCTGCCACGACCATCTAACCAGGTCATACCAAGTCTGGCCTGAAAAACAAATTACATTTCTGGTGCCAACCGATCTACATATATACTAGCCTTTGCTAGGATCTCCTCCCTCTGCTACCTGTCCCTTGAAATCAGTACTTTTACTATAATGTACATTCTTTTACACCAGCACTTTTGCTCGGCGTAAACAATCTGGACATTTATATTTATTAATCTCCAAGGCATCAGTAGCAGTCACATTCACACAGGAGCCATGGTACCATTCACCACAGAAGTCACACTGTATCATAAATCTACCGTGCCATGGCTGTCGGCAGTTACAGTAGACTCTGTCATCACCCCTTCGGGTCGCATGACTCTCTGGATTTTTCCTCCAATGTCCAATCCACTGTGGTAATTCTGTGTCTTTACACGGCTTAAGTCGGTCATGATTGGCCACAAACACTGCATTTCTAACCTTCACTCGGAATAAGTTAGAACTTAATTTGGCTACAATCACTCCAGGTCCTTTCCACGGTGGACATAATTTCCTACATTTGCCTTTAGTATCTGCAGTATCCAATATATAAACTGCATCACCAACCTCATATGCTCTCTCCAGTATCCTGAGATCATAATCTCTTTTCATACGTTTAGAAGCTGCTTGCAGCTTTCTGCGAGCAATTTCATGTGCCTCCTTCATATCTTCAGCTAACTGTGCAGCATAATTTTCAGGATCTTCATTATTAATCCTCCTTTGAGGAAACATTAAGTCAGCGGGTGCATTCACCTCACGACCTAACATTAGTCTGTTTGCTGTGAATCCGGTCATCCTGTTCACTGAAGCCCTTAATGCTCCAGCTATTTGTTGCAAATTCACATCCCAGGTATTCTGTGACTTTTCTGTAAAACACCTCACTGCATCCATCAATGTCCGATTGTAGCGTTCTACTTGACCGTTACTTGAGGGACGGTATGGTGTTGTTCGTGCTTTATAGATTCCTAAAACCCGGCACACTTCTAAAAATAATTTTGATTCAAAATTTCTCCCTTGATCTGTAAAAATTTCAAAAGGAACTCCAAAACGAGAGAAAAATTGATCTATAGCTGCCTTTGCAGTTTCTTCAGCTGACTGAGACGGAAGTGGGATGCATTCAACCCACTTAGTAAATTGATCCACCATCATTAAAATATACTCATTTCCTTTAGCCGTCTTTGGTAAAGGGCCAAGGAAATCTAAGTGTACTCTCTCCATGGGTGCACCTGCCTGGAATTCTCTAAGAGGGACTTTTCCCTGTCTTGATGACTTTTTATTCTGATTACATCTCGGGCATCCCATGACAAAGTTATCAATTTCACGGCCCATGCCGTACCAGTAAAATCTTTCTTTAAGGCGCTCTTTAGTCCTTTTTGCTCCTTGATGCCCTGCAGATGGTAAACAATGATGCATCCTCATGGCCTCCTCACGCCAACTGGAGGGTAACACTAACCTTTTATCCTCACTAATAAAGGGAACCGGAGAAGATCAGCATTGGTCAGAATTGTGCCGGAAGTGACGTGCAGTGGTGTTAGAAACGAAGCTGAGTGGTCATTTTAACATAGAGGTGAACGGCAGTGAAGACGGGTTGTCGGAGGAAAAAGAAGTTTTCTAAACAACATGGTAAGTAAACTCTCTTTTTTTATGCATTTTGGGCAGAGAAAACTTGTAGAAATAATAAATGCATGATATGAAAACGTGACACGGAACTTGAAGGTGCAAAATCGTGCTTAATTTGCGGTCAACTTGTTTAGAAATAAATGCTGCGTCGACCGCCAGCGCGACAAAAAGCGTAAAGGGGAAATAATTCCCGGGAGTCTATAAATCGTTGTCATGTGGAAATTTGGCATTAATATAATCCGATATGTCCATAATTAAGTATTTTTGGGTGTTTTATTGTATGGGCTGCAATTACAACGATGTTTTAGAGGTCTTGAAGGACCTTGTNGTTTGGGGAAAATGAGTTTTTTCTTTTTTTTTTAGCAAAGTATATTGAAACTGTTTTATGACCCCCACCCCCCACCCCCAACACCACCAAAAATATATTAAAAAGCCTTATGTTAACTGATATTTTCTTTTTTAATGATTTTTTATAAAATGTGAAAAAACTAAAATCATATATTGATCACTGATGGTGACTTTCAGGCTTTAATCTGGTTGTTAAAGTTGCTTCACCCTATGGTTATTCCAAACGGTTAAAATCAGCTTGGCTAAATGTAATGTAATGGTCATCTTGTCGTTTCCAGGAATGGAAGCTGGACACGCTGTGTGATTTGTACGAGACGTTGACCATCACTCAGGCTGTGATCTTCTGCAATACAAGGAGGAAAGTAGATTGGCTCACGGAGAAAATGCACAGCAGAGATTTCACCGTGTCCGCTATGGTGTGTACAAAAAGCTCTCTGGTCTTGTGAAAATCTGATTAAGGAAGATTTTTTGTTTTTCACAGAAAGGTTTTCTTTTTATTATGTAACCCTTGGCATAAATTTAAGCAATAAAACTGTATTGAAAGTAGTTCCATGAGTATGAGAAATGAGTCTCTATTTTCCATCTGTTATTATTATTTATTTATTTATTATTATTATTATTATTATTATTATTATTATTATTATTATCCAGCACGGTGACATGGATCAGAAAGAGCGTGATGTGATCATGCGCGAGTTCCGCACGGGCTCCAGTCGCGTGCTCATCACCACCGACTTGTTAGCACGTGGTATCGACGTGCAGCAGGTGTCCCTTGTGATTAACTATGATCTGCCCACAAACAGGGAGAACTACATCCACAGGTATTGTGAGACCTTTTCTTTCTAAAGTTTACAATCCTACTTTTTAACTTGTCCAGTTTTTATGTCAGGTATTTGACTCACAAAGCCTGATTTTCCACCTGTCAAATATTGAGTTTAGTTTTGATTTAGTAAGTAACGTAATTTTTTTTGCCCAAATTAAGTGCAATTGTAAAACCAAATTTAAACCCTGTTTTAACCGACTCATCTAAATTTCATTTTACCCTGTTCTTAAGGATGTAGATAACAGGGGTAGCTATCTTCTAAACCGGCCAAGATATACCAACATGTTACATATCAATAGAAAGCTTATTTCAACAGCTCTTCATTTCATATCCTTATTTTATTATGTAATCGTTACGTAATGAGATATAATGCTTAATAGGTGTGCTCAACATGATCTTTACACCTTAAAAACTAGAAGTCCACTACAAATGGACATGTGTAGACAGCTTGACTCGTGAGCCCTCATAGGGATCAACAAGAATGCGCCTCAAATTAGCGATATGTGTTAAATTAGCAGAGATATCAAAATAAACTTGGTTTCCAGTTCAACGAGACCCCCTAGCCTAACTAAAGCATGCCTAAGTTGAAAACGGAGCTGATGTTATGAAATCCCAGACACATACTTTCAGACAAACCTTAGATCTAACGAATGAATACCAGCTTTCATCGGTTGAGAGTTCTAATTAATTTTGACACTGGTCTAAATCGTTCTCTTGAAGCCATAAACTGAAGCGGAGAAATCAGCCTTTTAGTGCTCCCCGGAGATTCCAACGTTATATAATCAGTGAGCTGCATTGGCAAGCTGAGAAATTTAGTTATTTATACTGGTTCAGCCCTCTACTCACTGCCTATGTAACTGTCACTATGTCTTTCATCCATTTTCAACATTATTATTGAACATTTTCAACCGGAGGCCCCCTCCATGTATTGACAGCAGCCACCATGTTAGTCGTGACGTCAGCCTTCTTCACCACGTGACACCTAGGGGGAGTGCCTTTGCCCATATACGTCTCATCTATATGTCTGCTTTTTAAAGCTTTAATAGATCGTCAGAATTAAGTTCACTGATAAATTCAAAATGAAAAGTATTGTTTGGCAAGTGAAAGCACGACGTTACTCACAGAATGTGAAAGGCTTAGCAGCAATCTAGTACGGGAAATATACAGCTGCACAGCAGAGCTGCCAATCAAACACATATATGGACAAGTGTGACCTACTTTAAAACTCAGACACGCTACCACAGGGGTAAATCAGCAATTAGGCTAAAATTACAGGTTTATTTGTAAACTTCCATTATTTTAAGATAGGCTGATATGTAGTTGATATTTCATCTATCTAATACTGACAAATTCAGAAAAACACCCAAATTTTGACAATTTACTGTTATCTACATCCTTAAGTGTAACCCATTGAACTGAAACTTTTTTTTTCTTTCAAAGGATCGGACGTGGAGGCCGATTCGGTAGGAAAGGAGCTGCCATCAACTTCGTCACCAATGATGACGTGCGCTGCCTGCGAGATATTGAGCAATTCTACGGCACAAAAATCGATGAGATGCCGATGAATATAGCCGATCTGATTTAGCCCAGCCAGTTCTAGCGATTATGACACTAGCCCGAGGTTAGTGTCTCTCTCTCTTTCTCAGTGTGACGACGGCGACTACATTGTGGATTCTACGCGGCATATATATTTTCCAGGCGAGATATCAGATGTATACACGGATTCTGCGACTGGATGATTCTAGCGATATTTATTTGTCCACACACACATTGACGTTGTTATACTTAAAGAAAAAAAGCAAAGCGAATAAGAGAGACATATTTGTGAAGTTGGAGAGGAGGGAGGGCTGTGTGCCCTTGACCTTGTAAAGTAGGTCACCCAAGAGGTGCCTAACTTGACATTTGAAATCTAATTGTATTCTATATGTAACTGTACAAATTATAGGTACTGTTTGCTAAGCATACGCTTCTTTGTTTTATTTGGCGCCATTTGTGAGCGAGGTGAAAACGCGTATGTTGTACATGCATAAAATTGTAGAGACTGTTCTCAAGCAATCAACGCCAGTTTACTGCATTGGAGATTGAATTTAGTGTTGGTGTATTTTGTACCATATAGATATTTTTGTCCAGTCCTCAATTTATTGTTATTATTTATCTTAAATTTAGTCTATTGGATGTAAAGCTACGTCAGAGCGTGATCTCTGCCCTAGAGCCGGGCCTCGTGCCCACCCCCACCCCCCAGTTAACAGGGGGTCCTTGTTGTAAAGGCTGCTAGTTTGTAGTGATATAATAGCTTTCAATGATAATGCTGCAGCACAAGCTGTGTAAGTTAATTGATGTTCGTAAGATTGGTTTTGGGGAGGAATGGAGAACGTTTTCACTCGACTGCTTTATGGATGTTAGCTTAGAATCACCTCCGCAAAACTGCTACGGAATAGAAAAATGTGGAACTCTGGTTCGTCCTTTCTTGCGTCAGGAGGAGGAGAGGGTTAATGTGCCCTCTTTTGAAGACTCCCAGACAAAGCCAGTATGCCTGTTGCAAAGAAAAGACGAATTTAATGACAAAAATGACGGAAAGAAGAACCAAAACTCAACGGTGCACGCTTGGCAGGATACAGTTCCGGCTTATGTCATGTTAGCACAGGGTAGGAAATCCGTGCATGTCAGTGCCATGTGCGCGAGTCTGCGCGCGAACACGTGCTTACCGCGTGTGCAAGACGGCAGGCTTGTTGCGGATAGAGCGTCTATCTTTTGTGAGGAGAACATCTTGTTAACAAACTATAGATATATTAAATTTTTCATATATTTCAAAAGTGATGTGTTGGTATAGTTACTACTGCTGATAAGAAACAAGTCAGGGGCGGGGGGATTCCTGAAGGATGTTAAGTACAGTTTGCGGCAAACCGCCGTTTTTAAAATAATTCTTGCATTTTTTAAATGGTGGGAAGCAAAGTAACGCGTTTTTGCAAGTCCCAATCTTTACAAAAACTGGAGTGTATGTGGATTCAAATTCTATTGGTAAAGCTGTTTTACGTTATCAGTTTTAAATAAGCGTGATATCTGCCCATTTTAACGAAGAAATTGTAGAATCGCGTACTGGTTTTTGGCCTTACGAAAAGTTGGCGCGCCTTCCATTTTATGTCTTTAGGAGATGACCTACCAGTGAATAGTTCTCTGCTGTATGTTTTAAAACGAGCCGTTTCCCGTCTCTGACACTAAGTAAATTACGCTGTCGAACGCTTTGTTTTGAGCCTTAATAGGCTGCGTTCACAATAAAAATCTAAATTCTAAAAACCTGAAAATCCATTGGCGGTATCTAGTGATCACGGTCTGTGCCCCGAATACCCCGCGGCGTAATTAACTAGCAGCGCGAGCGAGTCGTATCCAAAGCTGATTAAACGGGTATTGTGGTCCGAATTCGGGATCAGCTACCCATTAGCTGCCTGATTTCAACATGAAATTTACAAAAAAAACAGAAAAAAAGAGTTGACAGCATATAATCTTGTGTGAAGAGGAAAGGTTGCAAGTACAGTCATCTTAAACTTTAAGAACAATCTATGTAAAATGCAAATAATGTAGGAATATTCTAATGTAGGCATATTCTAAAGGACTTCTAATCGTCACTGAATAATATATAATCATCTTATGAATTATATTTTTGATATATTGATCTCTGCTCGTGAGATAGGCTATAATCCCATAATATTGCACTGCATAATACATAACGCTATAAGAGCATTCCGCTTTTTGCGGCGAAACAGAAGTGAATTATTTAACAGTCCAGGTAACTAAGTATATCGTGTCCGGCGTTTAGGGATAACAACAGTTCGTAAGAGATCCATTTTTCACAATAAATACACTGTAAACAACTCATAGATATAGTATCAATTCTATTTTACCACCCAAATGGCGTTTATCGCACATTACTCTGGAATTTTGGCTTGCCATCGGACCACTTGACCTCTATAAACGGCTACCCTCTTAAGATCTCTTAAGAGATAAAAAAAAACTCTTTAGAAAAAAAATAGGGACTATCTTTAACTGTCGGACTAGATACAGTAACCGTGGGTTTGTATGGGAAACTTGTCGTTTATCCCAAAAAATCCATTTTTTGGCCAAAATAAACAGTTGTTATATATCCCTTTAGATACAATATAATCATATAGCACGATAGTGCGGTTTGGGGTAATAAATGAAGTTATGAGTTGTATATATTAAGGAAATTAGTGAGAGATACGCAGAGCTCAGGGTTCTACATCTGCCAACAATGGTTCATCTAAAACGTGTCCCAGTGCGATTAAATCATCGGCGGCTAATAAGTTTGTTGGTCACTGGCGTAGTAATAGTCCTGTCTTTGTTAATACTTTCGGATATCTCTGTGCGCATTCGTGTAACAAGCCCAAAGACGCGACAGAGCATGGTGTCGAATGTTTCCCCTAAAGAAAGACACCTTGATTCCAAAGACTTAGCGTTCACCGGCCAACTAGTACTGACAAGTGCAGACTTGATCGAAGACCTGGGATCAAAAGCAGTGAATGCCACCGATCCTAGACTGTTGAGGCTCCTTCGTGAAAAGTGGCTTCTTGCGCCTTCCAGTCGCCCGTACGACTTGAAAAATCCAGAGAAAGAACACACGTCTCAGATAGGGCAATCGCAGACAGTTGATAAACTACTGAAGCAGAGGCAGAACGGCTTTTTTGTTGAGGCGGGAGCGGCGAACGGAGNTCAAGATGCTCTGACAGGCGAAATATTGGAGGTAAACAATTTTAATATTTAACTGTTTGCTTTATGAAAAAAAAAAAACATAACACAGCTGGTGAAATACTTCTCTGACTTACAGAACTTTCTTTCCACACAGGAAATCATATACAATAAACACCTGCCTGTCTCCACGACCGCACCCACAGCGAATAGAATTCACATATGCCAGTCTATTGGGCGGCATCAGTGAAACGGGACGCGCTCTTCCGGCAAATGTACAAAGTGTTATTCGTGGCAAAGGCTTGCCGCAGTGTTTCCCAATACACTCCATCCTGGCCGCACTGGGGGTGACCCATGTGGACTACTTCTCCCTGGACGTCGAGGGGGCCGAGGCGGAGATTCTGAGGACATTTCCCTGGGGAGACATCACTGTGGACGTGTGGTCAGTAGAGTACTCCGTTTTTGAGAAAGGACCGAAAGGAGAACGCGAATTGGCTCGGCGCCTTAAAGAAATCCAGGAGATTTTCCAAAAGACAGGGATGTACCGGGAAGTAAAATTTCCTCATGGATTGGATGTTCTGTTTGCTCGACGGGAGATTTCGATTACGTAAGAGCCCATTCAGCATAGAAGATCCAAGGATCCAATTTTAAAGGAACATGCATGTCAAAGGTTTAAAAAGGATAGCAACTACCCTTGTTAGGACCTCTCAAAGTGAGATAATTGTACTGGAGAAAGAGGTCACAGTTGAATGTTATAACCTTGAGTTTCAGAGGCCGCAGGAAATAGCCTAAAAACGCTTCTCTACTATCAGAAACTGGAAACAGCAGAGGCATACTGTCAGCCCGTGTAGTTAAAGAAGAGAAACGCAAGTGTCCTTCATAACTCATGGTGTCAGCTAATTGCAGCACACAAATTACTCTAAAACATTTGTCACATCTTTCTTGTGATAAGGTTTTTTTTAACCTGGACTACAACGTATGAGTATTTATACATTTTTCTAGATATCCAGCAAAGTTATTTACCTTTCCCCATTTTCCAGACCATTTTAATTTTATGAAACCCCTCAAATAAAAGTACCCGATGTCAATATTCTCTCCTGGCAGTCTTAATGTCTGGCCAAAGCTTCACTACTGAATTAGAAAATATATAAAAATGTGATCCTAAGTGTTCTTTTTATATGCCATAAATGTATATTAAAGAAAAAAAATTAAAAAGAAATTCAAAACTAAAGTATATACGTGCTGTTACACAATAATAATATTAATTTTTTGAAAAAAGTTTATTAACTTTCACAAAGATAGAGTTTCACAATGATAGTAATAATCATACTTTGAAATATTAACTATAATGTAATAGTATGAAAAATACAAATTCTTTTTAAATATTCTATCAACAATAAGATATCAAAATTGAACACCAACACGCCCTAGGGCATGAGGCAACAAGAACCATACATGATCTGAAATTGTAGTCAACAAGATAAATACAATTTACACAATACAATCAGTATAATTAATACAATTAAATGACTGAAAAAATGACATATATTGCACCTGTAGGAACCAGTTTCACAGTTGGCACATAGGGCCAAGAATACGGGAAAATATGGCTGACCATATTTTCATGCTGGACTAATAGGTTAACTGATCAAAAGTGACCTTATAATTACTAAGAAAAAGGATCTTGGTGAATTTTTATGTTTGTATAAGCATTTGCATTGACTCAATTAAAGTTAAAAAAAAAAAAAAAAAAACTCGGGTCAAAGTGACCTAGCTGCAAACATTTTAGATCACAATGACGTACATGTTCATGCCTCTACATATAATGATTACCTGAATACCATTATGTGGTTTGTAATATTAACTACTTTGCAAGTTTCTGGTGTGTTTGCCAGAGAAAAGGATTTCTGGTATCTTATTAATGCTTTTCTTCACTTCTTTTTTTTTGCTTTTGCAGGAACACAAAATTGCAAATATCAAATATTATCCATTTCATTAACAAAGTGACCTGAGCATGCTTAGAATAAAAATGCAAAGAAACCATAATTATACTGATATACATTTTTAAATGAATTGTTTCATACTTAAAGTACTCAAGTTGTACTGGTTTTATAAGTCAACAGCAGTGACCAGATGGCCGGGACCAGGCAGCCAGTACCATACAGCCATGACCATAACAGAAGGGACCAGACACGCGGGACCAGACAGTCAGGACCATACAGCCCACACCATACAGGCAGGACCAGACAGTCAGGACCATACAG